TCCAGGATAGTTTGCCCAGCATATGCTAGACCCTGGTTTCTACCCCTGCACCACTAGTAAATAATGAAATAAAATAAACCAGAGAAGGCTGGGGCTGATGAATGTGCCTACTCCCCTCCTGGATTATCTTACCCTTGTGGTGGTTGTTTTAAATCAACATGATTGGCTGTTGAGCTGCCCAGGGGGTTAGTAAAGCACACTTTTAAATGCCTGAATGGGTCATGAGGACATAACCTGGAGATCCATGTCTGGTCCTTCACTCCTCCTCCCTCTGTACCACTGTTACCCGCTCTGCTTCCTAGTCACTCTGAGCTAAGCATTTTGCTCCATCACACGCTTCTGCCATGATGTTCCTGCTTGGAGCCAGCAACCATGGGCTGAATACGCTAAAATTGTGAGCCAAATTATACCTCTCCTTTAAATTGTGAGTGGCAGCTGCTGTGTCCCAGACAGGAAAGCTAATACACCCCTCATCTCCGCCTATCAGAGCACCTGATCCCAAAGAGAAAGGCACCATTTGGCGCTGTCTGGACAGTCCTAGTTGACTTTTGTGCCTCCTTCATTCTCCCCTCTTAAAGGGGTACAGGAGGCCAAGAAAGTTTTTGAAGCCAGCCTGTGTGGCCTGTTTCTCCCTAGGATACAGAACGCAGTGGGTGAGAGGAGATGACAATGACTGCAGCCCAAGTGCCCAGACCCAAATTCCAGAAGCAGATCCTTGAAACAGCCTGCACTCCCCTTGGAGAGACCGGAGTGGATATAAAGCTTCATGGGTGAAGGAAATTTTCAAAGGCTTCCAACTGGAAGACCTCAGCAGACGACGATAGACACTCCAAACCTCTTACCACTCATCATGGATTAGAAATTTCTAACAAATTTTTAGCTGCTGAGGATCAAAGTCAAGACCTTGCACATGGCAGGCAACCACTTTGCCACTGAGCTAATCCTCAAATCAGGCAGCTTATCTTAAAATTTAAAGTATTTTTTGAATGGCACTAATTAGGAGTACATAACAAGAAGACAGGCAATGCAAACTGTAACAGATGGCATTTTAACCATGTTCTTCATTTGTAAAGAATTCAATAGTTTTTAAACAAACAGTTTTTGGTGGTAGGGGTTGAAACCAGGTATTGCTATGTAGCCCAAGAAGGCCTAGAACTTGTGATCCTCTTGCCTCAATCCCGAGTGCTAGAATTACAGGTGTACACCATGACATGCAGCTCTTAAACTATAGAACAAATTACCTGGGTGACTATACTTGCAATCTTACTGGTTGATCATGGTGTTGTCCCACCTCATAGTAATTTCCCACTCGGTCTTATAGTCTCCGAACTGTACCCACCTCACCTCATGGCTTTGCCCTATAAAACACTTCTGAGTGGAGTGGGCGGGCAACTCACTTTCTGGTTCCCCTTCTGTCTCTCAATAAATTTTTCCTGACAATGCAATCACTCCAGAAAGAATGGTTACTATCGAGAAATGAACCAATAACAAATGTTGGCAGGGCTGTGGGGAAAAAGGAACCCTTCTCCACTGTTGGTGGGAGTGTAGACTGGTGCAACCACCGTGAAAATTAGTGTGGAGATTCCTAAAAATCTAGGATTAGGGCGGGGGATTTGGCTCAGTGGTTCCGCTGCCTGCCTCACAAGTGCAAAGGCTCAAGTTCCATCCCTGGTACAAAAAAAAAAAAAAAAAAAAAAAAAAAAAAAGACAGAGACATTAATAGCTAAATGGATGCACATTGAAGGCATACTCTTAAGTGAAATAAAGAGAACCCACATGTGTAAATACTGAATTGTTTCCCTGATGTGAGAAACTGGAAGTGCAAATAAGGACCAAAATGTACAACAGATAATATGAAACTGAAAAACAAGTTTAAAGGGGAAAGGGAAGTAGGGAGGGAGGGTGAAGAAAAGGATAAAGAAAAAAAATGTGAGAAAAAAAGAAAAAACAGAAACAAATATTTTATAAATAGGGAGGGATAAGAGGGTGGAAGGGAAGGAAGAGGAATGGGAAGAAACAAGAACCAAGATATAACATAAGGTGTGGTGGCGCATGCCTATAATCCCAGCACTTGGGAGGCTGAGGCAGGAGGATCTCTGCAAGTTCGAGACCAGCCTGGGCTACATAGTGAGTTTCAGGTCATTCTCAACTACATAGTGAGACCCTGTCTCAAAAAGCCAGAAAAAAAAAAAGATATATCATATACAGGTACAAATTCCCAATGAAGAATGTGATCATCAAGAGCCCCCACCCAGTTGGACCCCACCCAAGCAGACCCGATACCCACATCTACAGGACCATACAAATAACAGGGAGCCAGCAGCTGCCCTGTTGCTCCTACTACCACCCTATTTATCAGCCAACTGTAGGCCCATCACCCATGAACTCTAAATTTTCCATCCCCTGGACCAGTGCCCCATATCATCCACACACCCTACTCTCAGTGCCAACAGCCTTTTTGCCCTTGGCCCTTTTGCACTTAGATGGCAATAAACTCATCCATCGCATGTTGCTTGAGCATTGCCTGCCTCAGTGGTCTCAATTGTGCCTGTCTGATCTTATAATCATAATGTATACCTGAAATGTACCAATAAACTCAATGAATTAAAAAAATAACAATACATTTTTCCTATTCTTAAACTCCACTGTACCTAGAATTCATTCATTGATTTTGGAGAACATGAACTTGCATTTCAGATATCTAGCAGGTTGGGAGTTAGTATTAGAGTATTTCCCTTATTTGGAACACTTGCTGCCCTGTATCACCAGGACCTACATAGGAAGCCTCTGACCAGGACAAGACTGCACTGTCACATCCAGAGACCACTGTATCACTGAGGACAGACATCAGGGCAGGGCCCTGCAGGGCTTTCAGGTAGAAGAGGAGCAAAGGACTTTGTGGAACAAGATTCACAGTTCTTGGGTCCTGAAGCATCACTTTTCTCTTTTTAGAATTTTCTCATACTTGACTCAGATTGGCATTTTCCTCTCCATAAACAGATCTTCTCTAGCACAGGTGCCACGGAGTCTGTGTGGGGTTTCTTCCTGAGAATCCCTAGGGCTGGGCCAGGAAAGGGCAGCTTTGTGGCAGAACTTTGTTTAGGCAAGCACCTCTGTTCAAGACCCAGCACACACAGCAAACACCCCAAAACCCACCCCATTCCAATCTGAGCTGGGTGTGGTGGTTACACATTCAGATCCCTGCTGCTCTGGAGGTTGAAGCAGAAAATTCAGCAAGACCCTATCTCAAAAGAGAACGCTGAAAACAGCTTTCCAGGTGGCTCACTGGTAGAGTGCCTGCCTAGCAGGTTGGATAACCAGCTCCACAAAGGAAAAACAAACAAAAACTGGTATTGGGGATTGAAGCAGGGCCTTGGAATTGAGCTACAACTCTCACCCCACTTTTTGTTTGTTGAGACAGACTCCTTCCTTTTGCAGTTCAGGCTGGCCTTGACCTGGAAGGGATCCTCTTGCCTCCACCTCCCAAGTGCAGAGATTACAGGCATATACCAGCCACCATACAGGCTTCTCACTCTTCTTTTTTGTACCGGGAATAGAATTTAGGGCCTTGCACTTGTAAGACAGGCTGCGGTGGCACCACTGAGCTAAATCCCCCCCCCCCCGCCCTCTCACTTTTTGTTTTTGCTAGGTCACTAGCCAGAGGCTAGGTTTGAATTATGATCATCCTGCCTCAGCCTCTGAGTGCTGGTATTGTAGGTATGTACCACATCTAGCTTTGTTCTGTAACTACAGAACAAATTACTTAACAGAAGCATCCACCTCCAGAATCCGTTTCCACACACTCCCATTCCATCCCTGAAGCTAGCTCTTCTTGATGCAGCTGTTCCTAGAGCACACTCAGGAGCTGCTAATATTATAGACAGGCAAGTTAACTAAATATCTTGCAGCAGTTAGACGGACCGGCCCTCGAGGAGCCAATATGGAAGCAATTGAGAAGACAACTGAGTCAACAAAGCCCACAGACAATCGAGCCAACATGGAGGACAGTCAAGGAGTCAACATGGAGGAAAATCAAGACACACTCGCTGAAGAACAGCATTGTAAAAGAAGAGAAACTATCACACTCACATAGGATAACTAGCCTTTCTAGAGATATCAATCACCTGGGTGGGGGATCAATATCTTCTAAGATCCTTGAAGGACCCGGAGATAGTTCTCCAGACTACAGAAGATGCTGAAGTGAGGATGCGTGGCAGCTGCATAATTTTCCTTCACACAGATAAACAAGGCCCTCAGGTGTGTAAGTGTGGCTCTGTGGGTCACTGCTGAGTTTTTGTTTTGTTTTTGAGGTTCAAGGGAATTGAACTCAGGACCTTGTGCTTGGCAAGGCAGATGGTGAAGCCACTGAGCTAAATCCTAGCCCTTACTGCTGAGTTTAAAGCCACTGAACAGGAGTTAAAAAGGTGTCAATCAGCTTCCTGGGAGAAAATAGTGACATTTGATCCGACATTTGAACAGACAGAAGAAACTGCAATTATGTGTCTTTCTACTGTCTCACAGATTGATTCCTTCAGAAGTAGAAGCTGGAGCCAGGTGTGCTGACCTTCACCTGTAGTCCTAGCACCCGGAGTCTGAGGCAGGAGAATCACTGTGAGTTCAAGGCCAGACTGAGCTAGACACAGTTTAACAAAAAGGTGCAACAGTGAGAGCTGAAAACTTTAAATTCGGGGTTTTCACAAGAAAGCCTGGCACTGTCGCTGGTTCTCCAGCTCCGTGGCAAGGGCTAGGTTCCGTGACCAAGGCCGCCCTAGTGCCCCCCCCCGTGGGCGGAGTTCTCCTCCCTCCACTGGAAGGTGTGGCTTTGCGGGAGAAACGCTAGTCGTGGGGAACAAAAATCAGCGAGGCCCTAGTGCCCGGGCAGAAGGGGAGACGCGCACCTGAGCCAGGCCACAGA